TTGCAAATAAGAACCCTAACATAATAAAAATTAATTTAAATTATGCTTTAGTTAGTTCTAAAAAGCGTAAAGATTATAAAAAAAAAAGTTAATACTTTAAGTGTAGTAAGCATAGTTATATTTTCTAAAACTACTTTATTTCTTTTCTTTAAGTCTACATAAGTAGTGCTGCTAGCACTTATTAAAGATTTTTACTATTTTAATTTTATTTCTATAAAGGCTCTAACTTATATTTAAGCTTTAATCTCTCTTACTACTCTTAACACAGCTGCAGCTATAGCAGTAAGAGCCTATAAAAAGGCTTATCCTAGGGCTAAGTTGCTTTTTAGAACTAATTTAACACTAGATCTTTACTAACTTATAGGCTAAGTCCTTTACTAATAACTAAAAGTACTAAGTTAATATTCCTATATATTTATAATAAAAAACTATATTAGCTCTAATATAGGCTTTTATTAACTTAGAAGCAAACAGCATAGGTTACATTAATAAAAAACTAGCACGTAAACTAAATCTTTAATTAACACTACTTACTTAAATAATTTACTTAACTAGATTTAATAGAAAATAACTTAAAAAAGGTTTTATCTTCTATACTATAACTATTATAATTACTTACTAACACTATAAAGAGCAGATTAAGCTCTATGTAATAAACATAAGACATTATAACCTAATCCTAAGACAACTATAGCTATATTAGCATAAAGTTACTTTTAATTACTAAGAGTAAGTTCTAAACTTTAACTCTTTTTAATACTAAGATGTATACTTACACTTACACCTAAACAACACCTAAGTAGCACTTAATATAGAAAGTTTTTAAACTTACTTTTTAATAACTTAAAAAAAAACTACCTAAGTAAAGCTAACAAGCTAGGCCTTTTACTAAAATAAGCTATATAAAATAGTTTAATAACTACTTAAACTTAAAAAAAAAAAGCCTTTAAAAAATCTTTACCTACTTAATTTAAACATAAACTAGGACTTAAACAGCAGATAGACATCTACTACATAGAACCTGCCTTATTTATAACTCTAGCTTAATAACTAAATTATAAAATCTACGCAGTTATAATTTCTAATATAGACTAAGCTTTAGCTCCCTAAAAACACACTAACCTAAAAATAATAGTCCCTTAAAACTACTATAACCTGTTACATGTCTTTTCTTAAGATAAGCTTAATAAGCTTCTAACATAATATCTATATAATTACTAAATAACCTTTAAGCCTAGCAAACAACTTAGTTATAGGCTACTATATAAAATGTTACTAAACAAATTAAAAGTGCTTTAAAAATACCTTAATAAGAATTTAAAAAAAAGGTTTATTTAAGCTAGCTTTTTACTAGTAGCGTTACCTATACTATTTATAAAGAAACCTAAAAGTAGGCTTTAATTTTACATTAACTACTAAAGACTAAATACTATTACTATTAAAAACTAATACTTAATTTCTTTTTTATAAGAAACTCTAAGCTAACTAAGTAAAGCAAAGTATTTTATAAAGTTAGATATTATTACTGCTGTTAATAAGCTAAGAATAGTAAAAAGTAATAAGTAGCTAACAGCGTTTTAGACCTAATACAGACTATTTAAGTACCTAGTAATGCCTTTTAGCTTAGCTAATATGCCTAGTACTTTTTAACATTTTATAAACAACTTGCTTTAACCCTACCTAGACGTAGTCTATACTATGTATATTAATAATATTCTAATCTATAGTAATAGCCTTTTAGAACATAAATAGTATATACGCCTAGTGCTAAAAGCTATAGAAGAAGCAGGTCTGTAACTTAATATAAATAAATGCAAGTTCTACTAATTAAAGGTTACATATTTAGAATATGTAATCTTTATAGATAGTATCTAAATAGACCCTATTAAGGTTTAGACTATACTAGATTAGCAATACCTAAAGAATATAAAAAATGTTTAAGCTTTTATAAAATTTACTAACTTTTACTAATAATTTATTAATAACTTTTTACAGTAAGTAAGCCTTATAATTACACTTACTAAAAAAAAAATTTAATTTAACTTTAACTTAAATTACTAATAGTTTTTTAACTAGCTAAAAAAAGCCTTTACTAAAGCCTTAATACTCTACTACTTTAACTCTAAACTACTAATACTTGTAGAAGCTAATGCCTTAGACTACATAGTAGCAGAAGTTCTTTTCTAGACTAAACTAGACAGAACTATTAGGCCTATTACATACTTCTTAAAAAAATAAGCTTTATAGAAAGTAATTATAAGATCTACAACAAAAAATTACTTACTATAGTACACTGCTTTAAATAATAGCAACCTAAACTAGAAGGTGCAGCGCATCTAATATAGGTTCTATTTAACTATAAGAACTTATAGTACTTTATAACTATAAAATAACTTAGCTACTAATAAGCTTATTAGTTTAAATACCTATCTTATTTTAATTTTAAGATTACTTATTATCCTAGTTAAAATAAAAGAAAACTAAATGCTCTTATAAAGCAATCCTAAAACATCTTTGCTTAGAAAAAAGTATAAAAGGCTTAACACTAAACTCTACTCTAACTTAAGCTATTTTTAAACTTTAACTTAAATAAAATAGATTAAATAATTAATTAGATAATTACTAATAAGTATTTAAATAATAAATTTATTTAAGAAACCTTAGACCTGCTCTAAAACAGCGCTAGTTAGTTAAAAAAGGTAACACTAGCTAACTATAAAAACTAAAATAGCAAGCTGTATTACTATAACTAACTTATAATCTCTAATTTTAATAAACTAAGAATTAAACTACTTTAAATTATATATAACTTACTTATTAGAGGACACCTAGGCAAAGAAAAGACTCTTAACCTACTATAAAGAGAGTACTACTAGCCCCGCATGTTCTATACTGTACGCTAATACATATTATGTTGCTATACTTGCTGTAAAGTAAAGGCCTTTTAAAAAAAGTATAATAGCCTACTTAAACTACTCCTAATCCCTAAATAAGCTTAAAAAGATATATTAATTAACTTTATTATAAACCTACCCCTATCTAAAAAGTACATAAATATTATAGTAGTTATTAATTACTTAACTAAGTATTAACACTTAATACTATGTTCCTCTATAACTGCCCCTAATATAGCCTAGTTATTCTACTAATACATATAAGTTTACTATAGCCTGCCTAACATAATTATATTAGACAGAGGTACACAGTTTGTCTTAGCCTTCTAAAATAAACTTTATAAACAGCTCTAAATTATCTCTTATCTATTTATAGCTTTTTACTTAGAGACTAAT